CCCATCACCTGATGGTATGTGTCGACCGCCCCACAAAAGCAATTGAAACACCAGAGCAGTGGCTCGTGTGTTGAAGGTACCTCAGTCGTATCGGCCCGGAAAAATCGCAGGTGGTATAAGATGCCAAAATAATTCTTGCGGGGAAGAATAGATAGATGGATGCAGATGACTTAAGATCGAGCTCACGTATGTATCTGTGCGGAAACCTATGTTCAGCATTGGACTTGTGAAGCGCTGTGGTGAGTGACTTTGTGAGTGAGCTATAAAAATTGTGACAATACAATGAAATCTAAACCTCCTTTATCCTCTTTCAAAAAAATCACGAATAAAAGAAAAGTCAAATTTATTCGTTGCTGCAACCTACTTTTACAAATCTTTACTTTAAAAAACCTTAAATAAATATTTAAAAAATTATATAGATTGCATCAACAAAAAGGGCTTTCTAATTGGCATTACGTTACGGTAACAAAGATACTACAGCAGTGATATTCGGTCTGGCTCCGGCACATATGTAAGTCGACTCCCGAGAAATCACTGGACATCATTAATTACCTATTTTATTACTTATATTTATTAAGTACACTTGCAAAGTTTACATTGATTCTAATAGGTAGTTATAATTTTTATATATTATATACAATAAACTAACTAACTGACTATGCTACGTTCATGTATTCTGTGACTCAGTGATGGTAAGTCTATATCAGCATTGGTCTATGGAACAAACTGAAAGTCTATGGACTTAATCATAAAATAAAATCATTTCTTTATGAATAATTCAATATGAAAATTTTACTCCCTCGCCCTTACTTTACTTACTTACTTTACTTGGAAATGTTATCGGTATACTTTTCCTAATGGCTAAATGTCACATTCACATTTTTCACTGATGGGTTATCATTTGTTTTTCGTTATTTATGCTATTAAACTAGCTTTCCTTTATTAGAACGAAGTTCCTTATTGTGCGTTGCGAAAAGGGGCTAAACAGAAAAAATTAAGACCAAAAGTTGTAACGACACTTTTTGCTATAGTTGTAAGCCGTGCGGCGTGCGCGTGTTTCTCTGTCTCTCTCTCTCTCTCTCTCTCTCTCTCTCTCTCTCTCTCTCTCCCCTTAAAAAATAACAATATATATATATATATATATATATATATATATATATATATATATATATATAGGAACTTCGTTCCATCCGGGTGTCCCTTGACACCTCTCAAGTTTTTTTGTTTTTATAATTTTCCGTATTCTTGTATTTCGTTGGTGGCGACATTGTGAACGGTTATGATAAAATTAAAGGTAAAACGAGTGACTGCGTCTTGGTGCACAAATATTTATAAAATTGAACATTTAATGATAATGTAAAATAATTTGCGCGTAATATTTAAAAGTCATACTTAAAGCATATTCATTAACATTAGTTATATGTATCCACGTAAAACCAAAATCCTTATACTATTCTTTGTTCCATAAAATTCTTCACTAAACCTAATATTTTTTTATAAATGATCACATTATACCTGATGGTAAGTGGATGGTGTAACCCATAAACAACTACATCTATCTTCGATTAAGGACTTATCTGAGGACTAAGTTGGAAGTAGACCTATTTTATTAAAAACGGGGCATTGGGGAGGGGGGGGGACGGTTCTCTTCACTCACCATACGAAACACCGCAGCAATCGCGCTAGTATTCTGTGAAAGCATGGCCCCTCCCCGGTTGAGCCGACTTGTTCATGCTACAAACATAATATAGCTACAGCGTGGCTCTAACAAAAAAATAAAGTATATAATATAAGTAGTAAATAAATATACAAAGGGAATATTTACTTAAATTATTAAACTAGTTCTACTTACAGTACTATACCAAGCTCTTTTAAGTTCATATTTGTGGGCTATAAACGGTTCACTACTGCTGTTATTACATGACTGTTCCATAAAGAAGGATGGTAATGTTTTTGAGGGTAGCCTAAATGGCTTGATGGATCTTAACATATCCCTTCGGCCACACACTCGTCGAGTAGCATGGCTAGTAGCAAGGAAAAGAGGCAGAGACTTAGTGTGGCCACAATACTCGTCACGCTCCTCGTCATGTCCATCGCTCCCTGTTTTGTCGGTTTTTTGGGCGCGAATCAAAGGACTGACAATATGAGCGCGAGTGGTTGGCCACACACTCGCGCAAAAGCAGTCCGAGTCGAGCGCTCGGTATGGAAGCATGTCATGTATCACTTAAAAATAATAAATAGTGTAGCTATCATCATTATTCAGCCATATTATCACATGAGTAACTAATATACAGAGAAAAAGTTATCTCGACGACGACAACGTATACTTCTTTTTATGACATTGATATAATTAGCTATAATAAATATGCATAGCTCGTACACTACAACAGTTTCAACGTCCATTGTGTTGCAGACGCGAGCGACCTCGTGCAGAGCGTCACAATTAATTGCGCGAGTAGAGCAGTGTGTGTACAGACAGCGCCATAGAATACTATGATACATACATAATAGAACGGGGGAGTGGGCGGAGCCCGTATAGCCACTAAAATGTCACTAACACGTCAATTCACACGTATAAATGTCAACACGAGATGTGTTTTGACGTTACAATCGTTTCCAAATTTCCCATGCAAATTATTTAGAAAATGCCATATTGCACGCTATTTACAAATATTAAAATCTGTTTGTCAACACAGTGAATCGGGTTTTTAGTAGTGATAATACGACGCTATTGCTTGTATGTGTACTCCCGGCGACGCCTATCGTCGTACAAAATAAGGTTGACAGCCATTCTATTTTGTATTATATTATAGTAGTATAGGGCAATATTGCGGCAGCGCGAAGAGCAGAGCGATGAGCAGCGCGAGGAGCATAGTGTGGCCAAGCCATTAAATTTTTTTCGTCTTAGTTGTAGTAGTGACATAGGATATAAAACATTTATTTTTTCAGTAAACTTTTTTACGCATTCGGGTTTTTCAATTACTGTTTGAACCTTTGGACTTGTCACGTATTTCTATAGAAATGACGTATAGATTAATTATTAATGCATGATGTTTTTTCTAAAATACGAGTAAATAAGACTTTTATTTGAAATTATCCCAAAACGAAAATAATTTATGGGTATCAACGTTTTTGCCTACTGATCGTCGCTTACCAGTGTGTGCGTGCGCATTAAAATCAGTTTATAATAGTGTATAACCACGCATTTTGAATTTGAAGGATAAAAATGGCAGAATGTTTGAGATATTTTTCAATTAATTTTGGCCAATTATTTCAAAATAACTCTGTATATGTAACTGTAGCGTGAATGGGTCCGCTATACCGGGAAGTAACACGCTTTCACAGAATAATATCGTAAAATAGCAGCGTAAACCTGGTCATATTATGGTGAATGTACGGAAGAGGAAAAGCTATATTTTTCTCTCTTATTATATCAGTTAGTTATATTAAGAGAGAAAATATCTCTTGATAATATCCATTCTACTAATCAAATAAAACAAAAGTTAGATAAAAGAAGGACAATCCAATATCTCCAAACTTCTTAAGACGCAAGTGTCTAAACTTTGCCCCAATACCCACAGGCTTACATCAGATTTCACTATATTTTTTAATAGACTCTATGATGGACGTACGTTCGTACGACGTAAATATTTTGATGAAAGTTTCTATTAAGTAAAAGTAAACTATCATTAATGGGTGTCGTAAGAGGCGACAGATGGAAAAAAAACAAGGAGATTTGCGTTAGCGTCTTCCTTCACTATGTTTTTTTTTATAAAAATTGAGTGACAAACGAGCACACAGTCCACCTGATAGTAAGTGGATACTGTGGCCCATAGAAATTCACATTTATCCTCAATTAAGAATCAAAATGGAAATGCGTTGTCACCCCTGAGAACTAAGATGGAATGCCTCGAGTCCAGTAAAAAAGGGTCTCCGGTTCTCTACACTGATCATACGAAACACAGCAGCATTAAGCTGCTATTTTACGCTGGTATTCTGAGAGAGCGCGGTCCTGCCCCGGTCGAGCCAAACTATTCGTGATTCAACTATAATATAGCTGCAGCGTGGCTCCACCACATTGAAGGTGGTAAAACCTCTTCTCTGCCTAGGAGTGCATCCGGATGGGTTACACCCTGGTACCTATTTCTGCAATCAGCAGGAACATAGCAGTGCAGACAGCTTCTTTATTGAAAGTTGGTAGCATATTGGTACATATTTCAGGGTGTCACGAAGTCGAGCGGACTTTACTCGTGGTTAAACGTGTACATACACATTGCGATAGTGTGCGTGACAGTCGGAGCGATCAGTTGCGAGCGTGCCCTCGCTAAACATACCCGAATTTGTTCTCACGCACATTTTAACACATATAAGTTTACCACGAGTAAAGCCCGCTAGACATTGTTAATTGAAAGAGTTATATCACAGTTGGACTGTAAGTCCTGTTTTCAATTAAATTTAAAAAAAATGCTAATCAATTAAGGAGTATACCTCAAATCTTGTGGCCAATAGTCGTACATCTCAAATCGTCTAAGTTAAATTTTTCACTACAGGTACGGGGTGCGGTGGTTATTGAAATAGGAACCTGGTATGAGGATTGCTCATCTATTCCAAGAATTGACTTGACAAGACTGCCTCGTTGGTCTAGTGGTCGTGAATGCGATTGCTGATCATGAGGTCGCGGGTACGAATCCCAGGTCAGGTCAAAAATAAGTTATTTTTCTGTTGAGAATTCTTAGTAGCAGTTCGGAGACAGGAAATTGGCAGCATGCTACCGCGCCTCGGAAAGCTCGTAAAGCCGTTGCTCCTGCGCCTGATCTCACTCCGTTCGTGTCGGTTTACCGTCCCGTTGGACTATGAGAGTGAGGGAATTTCACAAAAATTCGTACTGGAGGGCATTATTTATTATTATTATCTATTCTAACCATGACAAACTAAGAGAATCCTGATGTTTTAAATTTATTTTTATCATTAAAAATCTCATCTTTAAACTATTTTCTCACCTTATGGCCAGAGTTGCGAAGAGCACCGCTAGCAGCGGCAGTAGCGTCCCAAAGCAGGCCAGGAACAGCGTCTGGAGATCCGTGAAACCTGAGAACACAGAGAGAACTGCGACAGGTCACATGCCAATACTTTACACACTGATCTTACCTACGCGAAACATATATATTACTTTATTAGCCAACTACAAAAAAAAGAAGGAGATGTCCGTATTTTCATTTATCATTGTTACTTCTTATAAAAAAATTAAACTTTAAAAAAGGTTTTGAAACGTTATGTTTATAATACAGTTAAATTAACAACCTCTTATTTGGAAATTAACCCTAACTCTGGAAGAATAGTCAGGAAACCGTGCGGGCTTCTTTTTGATATATTTTTACAGGATTTGGGTAACAAACGAGCTGTGGCCCATAGACATTTATCCTAGATTAAGAATAAAAAGCAGATGCGTTGCCAGCCTTGCGGGTTAAGATGAAATTCCTCATTTCCAGTAAAAAGGATCTCAGGTTCTCTACACTACCATACGAAACACAGCAGCATTGAACTGCTATTTTACGCTGGTATTATGTGAGAGCGTGGTCCTTCCCAGGTCGAGTGGTAGGAGTCGTTCCATTCGTACTACAACCATAATATAGCTGCAGCATGGCGATATCACGTACTATTACTACTAATATACAATTACTATCTAAAATTTTTGTTACTATCACTAAAGTTCACCACAAGTCCAGTGCTGAACATAGCTAACCCCCTCGCCCATAGACAGCCACAAGATACGGTACTTGTATCACTTGTACCACTTGTGTCATCACTTGCATCACTTGTATCAATCGACTGCCTCTATTTTGTATTGTAGTATATGTATTGTAATAAAATTACAATATACAAATCGTGGGTATTTCAAAATGGCTTCAAAATGGCAAAATGTTAGCTATCATTCCCAGGAGTTACGATGATCGATATATTTTTTCATATTACAATAAAACCTTTATACTATTTTGGTTTAATTTTTTTTTGAACTTGGCATTCTGAGGATTATATCTAAAGGCGTACACTTTGCCCCATGAATGAATTACTGACTCTGTGGAGTCTTACGCCTGGTATTACTAGTTTATGCTTAATTTTTTATAAAGTTGCAGCACGAATGAGTCGACCTGTTAGGGGAAGGTCCATGCTCTCCCAGAATACAAGCGTAAAATAGCGTAGTTTCGTGTAGTGAGTGTAGAGAACTGGAGACCCTTTTCACTAGCATTCCAACTTAGTCCTCAAAGGTGACAACTCATTTGTATTGTGATTCTTAATTGAAAATAGATGTAGATATCTACGGGCCATAGCTTCTACTTACTATGGGATGGATTATGTGCTCGTTGCTCATTCTTATTCTAGAAATAAAATATCTTCGTTTCTTTACACACACCATACGAAACATAGTGCTATTTTACGTTCGTATCTTTGAGAACGTGGTCCTTCCCCGATTGAGCAGACTTATTTATGACACAACCATAATATAGCTGTAGTATGGCGCTACCACTAACGTATTAAAGTACATTGTACACCATAGACCGGCATCGTTAAGTCTTGTGGTCTATCATCGTCTCTGTTACTTTCACTTAAAGTGATAGAGACAACGACACGAAACTTAAAATTTAGCAGCGTTTTAGTCGTTGGACATCACTGTATATGAGCTTACACTGAGTAGCAGCGGTGCTTAACCTCTTTGATCGATGACTCTAAATTAGATGACCCTTTACCTTGTTATTTAAATGAAGTACCAATACTACCAATAGTTAGGTGATCAATCATAACTTGGCAACTTTATTAATAACAGAGTTAATTAAAACTACTTTTACTGATTTAATCGCGTTTAATTTATAGTATTTTTAATTTCGGACGTTTCGATTGCTTTCCAGCACCCGTGGTCATGGGGGACTGAGGAGACTGAAGTCCAGATGTCAGTGTTAACCCGGAGTACCTTCAGCTTTTTAAATATTATTTATGGTCCGATCTACGCAGAATGAACTTTTGTGTCTTGAAGTCTTGCAATAGTATGCTTGGGTTTAGTTTTAATTTTATTGATTATAGGGTCACAAGCAGCCTCCTTCTCGATTGAAATTAGGATGTTTTTTTTAATTTCAATAGCCTCACGTATCATCCTTGTCAGGAATCGATATTCTTTGGCGAGGATTTGTGGTGTGTGGACGTAATGGTTTGGGCCGTCTAGGATATGTCTGCAGTTTGTGATCATATCCTAGACGGTCCCAACCACAGAAATTTAAATCAATGTCTAGTAAATATAAGAAATCACTAAATAATACGAGTAGAGTTAGTTGTAATTAGCGAAGATAATTTATTAGTATTGTTGCGCGGCTAGGTTGACATCTGGCACTAGCGCTATCTAGTGTCGGGTAACAGAGCGAGGAGAGAGCTTTCCAGAAAATGACAAAGAAAATGACAACACAGAAGAGCCCTATATAAGGGCGCTGCAAGATGCGATCGGGGAAGTATTGAATATGGCGAGACAAGCGAAGCTTCGGAGCGGAATAAAGTGAATCAGTGTGATTAATTGTAAGTGTTTTAAGTTTTAATTGGTGTGAAGAAAATTAAAGTGTTAATTTAGGTAATTCTATCGGCAATTTTTATTGTCACGAACCTCAAGCTCGTAACAGTATGTTGGTAATCCAAACGACTTTGCCTGGTAGAATTCATAACCGTTCCGTCACCGTTACAGTCTATTAAAGTCCGCTGCTGAACCTCCCCTATAGATTGCCCCATTGGGGAAAATGTTCCATAGTTGCCACGCTTGGCAAGCGGGTTGACAACCCCCCAGTTCTTTATTTTAAGTCGTTATTAGGAAAACGCTGCTGCTCATCTCCTGATTGTTTCCCTTTGTCGCATCTTACGACACCCACTGCATGATATGAGGTAGTGGAAATTCTTACACCGCCACTACGCGGTCCGTAATATTGGATCAATTAATGTGACGTTATTTAGATTTAACATAATGAAGGACTATTTATTTTATCAATTTTTCGCTTTGTTTTTTCTTTGGATGAAATAAGGCCTTGTTCCCTACTAGCATTGATCTCTATCTCTATGTAAAGTATCCTCACAATCCGTTTAGCCATTCCGATGACACACAGACAGAAAGGCAGTAAATTTTTTTAACTGGTTATTTATGTAATGATTTCTTAATTTCTTAAATTTACGGGAACACTACACATTGAATAAAGCTATTATTTACGGATTTTATCGCGTTTAATTACTTTAATTTATTTTTATTATCCCGACGGTACACAGGTCAAACAAAAAGATCTATAAAAACCCGCGTGAAGTAACTTGCTTATAACTGGAATATAGCTGACGTGAAGCACCGACGCTCCGGGAAGTCTGCAGTCTGCGAACATGTTCAAGATCATCCCCACCATTACATTCGATTTGATAAATCACAAATCCTTGAAAAAAAAACACCGATTCCTACCAAGGATGATACGCGAGGCTATTGAAATTAAAAAACATCCAAATTTCAATAGAGAAGATGGATGGGTGCTGCCAGCTGCTTGGGATCCTATAATTAACAAAATTAAACCCAAACCCAAGCATACCACTGCAAGACTTCATGATACTATAAGCTCGTTTTGCGTAAATCGAACCAAAAATTAATATTCAAAAACTGAAGGTAGCCGGAATAACTATGACATTGGGACGTCAAACATCTCAGTCCCCCCGTGACCATAGGTGTTGTAAAGCACCCGAAACGTCGGGATAATAAAAATAATTTAACGCGATAAAATCCATAAATAATAGTTTTATTCAATGGTCTTAGTAACAAACAATTACCTTCTAAGCTTAATACTCATAGAATTCAATTTTATTTATATGTAAATTACATTAAATTGATCCATTTATTTTACCTACTTTCAAATTAACTTGGGACCCTCTTGCGACCCTCTTAAGTATCGTTCGCGACCCGAGGTTAAGAACCGCTGCTGATTAGGATAAACCGTGTATGTCAAAGTTCACTGTAATATTGAAAGAGAGAAGTAAATATTTATTTAGCCATTTCTTCACAAGTAATGGTGGGCACTGGCAACTAAATATAACATTGTATAAAGAATAATTTATAATCCCATTCACATCTTAAGTAAACATTAAAAAGGAAAAATAAATCGTGGAAAAAATTCTGATTCAAAATAATAGTAAAAACGAAAACCCAACCTTAAAACTGATTTTGTGTGAAATGGTCCAAATAGTATATCTATACGTGGTAGAGCCATGCTGCAGTTATATTAGATGTATAGTTGTAGCACGAATGGGTCGGCTCGACCGGGGAAGTACCACGCTCCACAGAATACCAGCGTGAAATAGTAGCTTAATGCTGCTGTATTTCGTATGGTGAGTGTAGAGAACCGGAGACCCTTTTTACTGGAAACGAGGCATTCCTTCTTAGTCCTCACGGGTGACAACGCATATGCATTTTGCTTCGTAATCGAGGATAGATGTAGATGTCTATGGGCCACAGCAACCACCTACCATCAGGTGGACTGTGTGCTGGTTTGTCACCCTATCCTATAAAAAATAGGACTAGCTCAGGACATGCCAACACGTGTCATCCTAGCCATAGCCCCGTTTTTTTAGTGGCAACCTTATAATAGAAAAGCTGTGGTAACTCAGGGACTTAAGGCTCACTGTAAATTTCACAGTACGCGAGCAACCCGGATTCGATCCCTGTCGGCATCAACGAAATTGTTAATTGCAATTTTAAGTGCTGATCTAGCACGTGCTCGGTGGTGAAGGAAAACATCGTAAAGAAACCTGCATGTCTGAGAAATAAATAAAAATTATTTCGAACACATGCGAAGTTCGCCAACACGCATTAGGGCAGCGCTAGGGACACTTCCTTGCCCTAATACCCTCTCAGAAGTGAGCGGAGGCCTGTGCTCAGGCCTCCGCTCACTTCTGAGCATGATGTATATAGGCTGTAACTTCAACTTTAACTTTTTAATGACAGAAAATAAACAGAATTAACATATTTATATACACACAGACATACATTTTCCGTCTATAACGTGTTCAATATTATTTTATAATTTATACTTATTAAACGTATATAA